CAGTTGGACGTCCTCTGAAGGCTTCAAGACTGCATAAGAGGGTTTCAGCTGGGCTGAGGGACCTCCTCCATCACCACCCCCAATCCCATGCAGGAATTTCATGCACCTGCCCTCTAGTTAAATAAATAAATGATTGAATGGGTGATGTGTTGTTTTGTTAACATCTTTATTCATTTGTTTTAATGAATAAAAAATTCTTTAGTACATCAAGTTTTATGTGCAAATGTGGCTTTTAAAATATATCTTAAACACATTCACCACTAATCTTGTTTATACTGTGAACTGCCTCAAAATATTTTTACATAATTTGCAAAATGCAAATTTTACCTCAGCTCCTATGTAAATCAACATGTATTCTTAGTGCGATAATTGAGGATTTTTATTAAAGTAATAAGTTACCCCATTGCAAATGAACTAATGAGAGGAATAGTGCAAGGCACAGTTCTAAACCAGGTTCTCACTTATACAGTGACACCCAAGCCTTTGTCATAGTGTGACAAAGCTACTGAAATATTCTTCTAAGTGGTTACCCAGTCGCCATCTCTTCCTTCCTAAACATACGTTTCATTCTCAGATCAGTATTACTAAGGCAGGTCTCTGGTTATATGAAGCTCAAAAGTCCTCAGAGCTCCAACCAGCTCATTGCACTAACCACCTCCTTGCCTTTCCTTACAACCTTCCTGGATCTGAAAGATTTATTTAGAATTCATATCTAGGCTAGAGCAGCACTGTGGTCAGCACATAGTGTGGTGTTGTTATTTGTTCCTGCGACTCGGGCTCTAAATTTCTATTTTAAAAAATTAAGATTACTTTTCTCCTTTTTTATACCGACATTGCTCTATGGGTTTACACAAAGTTGATATTCAACTAAACACTCCAGATTTTATTTATATGACCTTCCATCGGGCAGAGTTTCACACATTCTTAGTATGGTTTGTGAACTAAATGCAATCGTCTGCAATTGGCCCTTTTTATTTTTATTTTATTTTGTTGATCCTCACCCAAAGATTTTTTTTTTTTAGAGGGATGGAGCATGCACCCACGGTATATAACCTTGATCAGTATTGAACTCTGGACACTTCGGTCCGAGAGCTATCACTCTGTCCACTGAGCTAGACTGGCTAGGGCTTTGGCCTTTTTAAATTACTACTTTTCTTTTTTAAATTATGTGTCTCTCTTTTTTTTTAAATATATTTTATTGATTCTTTACAGAGAGGAAGGGAGAGAGATAGAGAGCTAGAAACGTCGACGAGAGAGAAACATCGACCAGCTGCCTCTTGCACACCCCCTACCGGGGATGTGCCCACAACCAATGTACATGCCCTTGACCGGAATCGAACCTGGGACCTTTCAGTCCGCAGGCCGACACTCTACGACTGAGCCAAACCGGCTTCGGCAAATTATGTGTCTCTTGATTGTGCCATCTTCTCTTTACTTCTACTGCTATTATCTTAGCCCTCGTTGCCTTAAGCCCCTGTGGGGAAAAGCAGAGAGGGGGGAAAAGAGGAAGCAAGAGGTGAAAGAACATTATTCCTTACAACTGAAACTATTTCAGCCCCTCTTCCTTCCAAACCATTTCCTAAGTAGCTAAGGGGAGAAATCTTTCTAAAATCAAATCTAATGATCACTTCCTTCCCCAGATAAAATTCCCTCAATGGCTGTCCATTACCTTCATCGTGGCCTCAGACCTTTTGTAATTCATTTCCCACCCACATCACCAGGTTGGCAGGCAGAAGTGGTTAGGGGTAAGCAGGCAGGCAGGCAGGCAGGAGAGCAATTGGAAGCCAGAAATCCTAGATTGTGAAAGGGATGTCCGACTGCCCATTTATGCCCGATCCCCTGAGAGGTCCCAGATTGGAGAGGGTGCAAGCTAGGCTGAGGGACATCTCTCTCCCACCCACCCCCTCCCCAGTGCACGAATTTCATGCACTGGGCCTCTAGTAATGTCATAAATGGGCATTCTCTGAGTCTTCGTTTCTTGGTGCCAATTGCATAGTGAAACTAGCTCTGTGCTCTGGGGAAACTAAAGACATTTCTATTCTGATTGGTTTGCTTTCCTGTGACAAATGAATACCTCATAGACAACTGAGATCAACCCTGGCCATCTTCAGTATCATTGTCACTGATAAGGCAAAATTGTTTTACTGGAATGACGGGGTTATGTAATCTCTGAAAGATTTCTGATAACTTCTTAGTGCCTTCTTTCCTGAGATAACTTAAGTATATATTTATTCATTGGTAGTCTTTCAAGGGCCCATTCAGTTGAAAATCTATAATCATTAAGTCCCAATATTCTTAAAATAATGAAGGGCTCCTCTTTCTACAACTTTAACTTTATTTTCCCAACCACTAAAGTAACAAAATGAAATTAACCTATTTATTGCTAAACACTTTATTTCCTAGGCTATGTCAGCAAGAGTGTGCTCTGTGTGTGTGTGTGTGTGTGTGTGTGTGTGTGTGGTGTGTGTTTCTTAACAAATGTAAAAGATAAAAGTAGGTCGCTCATTAGAAACACAAATGTAGTCATCCTTTCCTTATGGTACCTAGATAATTATCAATTGATTAATCTGTATATTTTAATGACTTAGATCCCTACTTCTCTAAAGAAGCAGAAAAGCATTTTAAAGTCTACAATAACTGAGACTTCATTACTTGTTGCAAAATAGAACTCATTTTAAGTGGTTAAATCCCACTGGGGAGTGCTAACATGAATAATTACCATTACATGCAATCTACCAAAATGAATAGTTTCACCATTGCATTTACTGATAGTAGCATCTTCAAATATGATTTACATTTATATCTCTAATGAAAATTAGTACATTCTTCACACTTTCTGATTTCTCTATCTCCCTTCTGTGGCAGCATAACTTCTTACTGCTTGTATTTGCATTTGTAAACTACAGGGTAATGTTTGTGGCAGGCATTAGATGAATGTGTCTTGCTGAGAGCCTAGACTTGTAATATCTAAATTCCTCAAAAATATATTTTATTTCACTTTAATTCCTTTTCATTTGAAATGTGTTTTGAGTACCCTCTATGAGTTTATCATAATGTAGAATTTTATGTCTCCCACCTGAAAAATGATACTAAAAGACAGGAAAGTGACCTGAGGACAGCCATGGTAAAAAAAAAAAAAAAAACTTGAATGACACAAAAATATTACTATTATCGATATATCTGGAATATCTGTTACATGTCATGAGATAGAGTATGTTCTTTATGTGCCTTATTTCCAACCCTTACCATAGAGGAAGTATTAGCTTACCCATTTTTCTGATTATGAAGGTTAGAATTCTGTAAGTTGTCCAAGGATGATGCTGGAAGGTAGCTGGACTAGTATTCACAGAGGTGTGTCTGATGTCAAAGTCTGGGCTTCCATTCTGACACTAGGCCACAAGCAAGAGTACATAGGTGCCACTAGCTTTCATGTAACCTCTATTATATTATCTTCCTAGACTCTAGAGCAGTGGTTCTCAACCTTTCTAATGCCACGACCCTTTAATACAGTTCCTCATGTTGTGGTGACTCCAATCATAAAGTTATTTTCATTGCTACTTCAAAGCTGTAATTTTGCTGCTGTTATGAATCATACATAATATCTGTGTTTTCCGTTGGTCTTAGGCGACCCTGTTAGTGGTTCTAAACCTGTGGGTCACAACCCACAGGTTGGAAACCGCTGCTGTAGAGCTTAAGACCATCAGAAAACACAGATATTTACATTACAACTCATAACCATAGCAAAATTATAGTTATGAAGTAGCAAAGAAATAATTTTATGGTTGCGGGGTCACCACGACATGAGGAACTGTATTAAAGGGTTGTGGCATTAGAAAGGTTGAGAACCACTACCCTAGAGAGACAAAGCATTTTCCTGTCCCACCCATGTCAAAACATATATATACTGTCAGTGCCCTGGTTAGCAGAGTTAGGAATCAGTGTATCATTCAGTTCATAATTTTCCTCCCTTTGACTTTTGGCAGAAGCCCTTTCTAAGCCAGAGCCCATTGTTATTCTCTAATGACTTAGAGGGAGGGTAGCCTGAGGCTTCCCGGAGAACTGCAGGCCTATTTATCATCTTTCTGTTTGTCCCCCAGACAATAGCCCACATGCAGCTTTCACTGGTCTCAGGGCGGCAAATATGTTGATTGTTTTCACTCTACCAAGAAAAAACACTGGTAACAAGACTTGTCAGCTTTCTAGAATTATGAATACAATTTTTAAGCAATTATAAAAGTACTAGAGGCCTTGGTGCACAAAATTCGTGCACTCAGAGGGGGTTCCTCAGCCTGGCCTGTGCCCTCTTGCAGTCCAGGAGTCATTGAGGGATATCCCACTGCCTCGGAGGTGGGAGAGGCTCCCGTCACCCATCGTTGAGTCACCAGCTGTGAGCCTGGCTTCTGGCTAAGCAGTGCTCCCTCTGTGGGAGCGCACTGACCACCTGGGGCAGCTTCTGCATGGAGCTTCTGCCCCCCAGGTGGTCAGTGTACATCATAGCAACTTGTCGTTTTGCTGTTCAGTCAATTTGCATATTAGCCTTTTATTATATAGGATATGTATATTTACCAAAACTTATTCCTTGCACCAAAAAAATATTTATTGAGCTGATTTAGTTGTAATCAAATGTAATGACCAGAAAAAATGGACATGTTAAAGATGTTGAGGAACTCTACAGTTTGGAAAATATATAATTATCAGTTTACAGCAAAAAACAATTAACACCTCCCTTAACTAGGAATAAAGAAATTTGGAGTAAGATCAAGAGCTAAGGATCTAGCCAGGATGTGAGGGTAGGAGCTCATTGGCTCAATAAGATAGGACTCTTCTCCTAGAAAGAGTTCAGATTACTCATTCCTAAAGAAATTATAGGCAATGCCCTTTTTTTTTTTTTTTTTTTAAAGATCAGAGTTTCTTCTAAGACAAAGAAGTAAAAATGAGCATGGCTTTCTGTCTTTGGCTTCACCTCTCTCTTTCTTTTTGCCTTTGCTCCTCTTTCCCAGGTTTCTAGCCAACACCACTTTCAGAGGCCTCAGTGGTTCCATCAAAGTAAAAGGTTCCTCTATCATCAGCTCAGAAAACAACTTTTTCATCTGGAATCTGCAACATGACCCTCTGGGAAAGCCAATGTGGACCCGCTTGGGCAGCTGGCAAGGGGGAAAGGTTGTCATGGACTATGGAATTTGGCCAGAGCAGGCCCAGAGGCATAAAACCCACTTCCAAAACCCAAGTAAGCTACACCTGAGAGTGGTTACCCTGGTTGAGCATCCATTTGTCTTCACTCGGGAGGTAGACGATGAAGGCTTGTGCCCTGCTGGCCAACTCTGCCTTGACCCCATGACTAATGACTCTTCCATATTGGACAGCCTTTTTAGTAGCCTCCATAGCGGTAATGATACAGTGTCCATCAAACTCAAGAAGTGCTGCTATGGATATTGCATTGATCTGCTGGAAAAGCTAGCAGAAGACATGAACTTTGACTTTGACCTCTATATCGTTGGAGATGGAAAATATGGAGCCTGGAAAAATGGGCACTGGACTGGACTAGTGGGTGATCTCCTGAGTGGTTCAGCCCACATGGCAGTCACTTCCTTCAGCATCAATACTGCACGAAGTCAGGTGATAGACTTCACCAGTCCTTTTTTCTCCACCAGCTTGGGCATCTTAGTGAGGACCCGAGACACAGCAGCTCCCATTGGAGCCTTCATGTGGCCACTCCACTGGACATTGTGGCTAGGGATTTTTGTGGCTCTGCACATCACTGCCATATTCCTCACTCTATATGAATGGAAGAGCCCCTTTGGTATGACTCCCAAGGGGCGGAATAGAAGTAAAGTCTTCTCTTTCTCTTCAGCCTTGAATGTCTGCTATGCTCTCTTGTTTGGTAGAACAGCAGCCATCAAACCCCCAAAATGCTGGACTGGAAGGTTTCTAATGAACCTTTGGGCCATTTTCTGTATGTTTTGCCTTTCTACATACACGGCAAACTTGGCTGCTGTCATGGTCGGTGAGAAGATCTATGAAGAGCTTTCTGGAATACATGACCCTAAGGTAATGCTTCCTTTTTAGTTCTCTTTATCATCCATTATAACTCCATATATTGTGTCTTATGCTGTAGTTTGTCTATGTTCTTTCATTGAAAACAAAAAATTCCCTCAGCTGCCTATAGACTAGTCCAAAAATCTGTTGCCTCGTTGAATTATATGTTTTATTGTTGTATTAAATGCAACAAAAAGAGTGAAGCATTTCAGGGGGCATTTGTTCCAGAGAAAGTCTTTCTGGTAGAAACATCTATTAGCACAGTTTTTCCCTGTGTTATTTGACTGATAGAATGGCTATCTGGGAATAATCTTACAAAGCATATTCACCCAAAGCAGATTTCAAAAACAGATTATTTCTCTTGAGAATTAATGGGAATAAATATTTAGTATAATCCATATTTTAAATAGTAAAGCATCTTTTTGTCACCATTAAAAAATAATAAATGTTAAGAACTAACATTTTATTATTAGCTCCCAAAGTCAAATGCTAAAGATCTCAGTAGGTATATAAGAAAGAATGCTGAACTAACTGAGGTGGCAAGATTAGAAAAGAACAGGGTGTCCTTATAGAATGCAGAAAGCTGTAGAACTGGTCACCTTGGGTTGGGGGTAGGTCACCAACAGTTACATTACAATTGCCCAAGGACATTTAAGAAAAATGTCTCTAATATAGGCTGCCTTTTTTTATATTCTAGATAGTTGACCTTAAAGGTAGAAGGAAGGAGGATGGTAGAGTTCAGATGAACTGGTAAAGCAGTGGTAAGTTTCACAAATCAGACCCAAAGATTGCCAAAATGAAGTCAGGATGCTATGCAGGAGAAATATAAAGCAATGATTTTAGGGGATTAAAAATACAATCATACAGATAAAAATACAATTTACATAGCAGTAAAACACATTTTTAAGCAGAAGAAACAATCATTCCATTCCCCACTTTACAGCAATAGAAAGGTGAACTTAGAAGCCTAGCCCAACCCATAAGACAAAGTGAGTAAAACTGGATAAGGTCAACTTTCTGTTATAACCAGCAAGTTCTTCATGCGGTGAGAAAGGCCTACATGTAACCACGTTTAATTTGAGATAATGAATTGATTCTGGCTGCTTAAGTATCTGTAATCACAATGTCAGATAACTTTCAATGAATGTAATAGCTCCATTTTTCTTATTGATCATGACTCTTTAGTATGCTATCTACACATTTCACACAATTTTAAAAAACTGTTTTAAGAGTTAAGAATGTGAACACCTCATCACCATTTCAGCATTGAGATTCATTTGCTTCAACCAACTAATTTGAATCAAATAAAATGAAAAGCAAAAAGCTGAGCAGGACAGAACAATTTGTGATTCACTACATGTTCCAGTAGCCAAGGCAGCCTGGGATCTTCTTTCTTTCTTTCTTTCTTTTTCTGATGTGATCAGAGGGAAGAAATAACCTTTTTTCTGGCTGCTCTTACAGAGAACCTCAAGGAAGAAGGGACTGGCTTGCTGTGCAAATAAAATTCCAAGAGGATGGTTCTATCCTCACCTAACTATTTGCCAGAATAATTTATTTTACATGAAAAGTAATACATGTAGTTTCTCATGGCTCCGAACCATGGTCCCCCATCATGTCTCTTCTGGGAAGCAAGTTCCATGCTTCAAGGCAGGTGGGCTCTTGAAAGCATGAGACCAGGAAAGAATCTGAGTAATGTATTTAAGAGATTATATAGGCATTTCTCTGACATAGAACTAGCACTATTCGTTATAGGCAATGCAGAAAACAGAATAGACAGATGGAAACAAACACCGCTGGCCCATCATCCAAAGTCATTTTCTCTTAGCATTGTGAGATAATGGACTGGTGGTAAACATTGCAGTAATATTTTTATCCAACAAGGTCTTCACCTGGGCCTATGATCTAAGGCAGTGTTTCCCAAACTTTTGACATATGTGTACCCCTTCTATAATTTTCATAATGCTGAGTACCATCTCATACTCATGAGAATGTAGAATTAGGTGCAGCTAAGCACGGTGCAGTGCATATCCCCACCAAACTCCGGTGCAATGCGTACCCCCACCAAACTCTTCCTGTATCCCTGGATGTATGCGTACCACACTTTGGGAAACATTGATCTAAGGTATAGACCTGGGCATTCTCAGAACCTTCCAGCCATTGACATCCAGTGTGCTGAGATATAAGACAAGATGAGAAATATCACTTCATAAATTGTGAAGTACTTTGAAAAATAAACCTTATACCTCTGCTCTTGGAGTTGAAGTGGCCCAGCTGAAAGGATACGTGAGCATCTGAAATGAGCTATCTGCTGATTTTAACAGACTTTCTAATTCTTCTTTTCCAGCTTCTCACTTAAAATGCCCCCCTTAGCCCTATTCTCTAATATATTTTTTTTTAAGTGTCAGCTCCTTAGAGAGAATAGGAAGCTAGTGTCATTTTTGTATGGACAAATTATGGCACTGCTTTAGAAAAACAGTCCTAGTGAACGTTCAAGTAAATATTTAAAGTTGAATAGACCCGCTGAGAAGGCAAGAGCAAACTTTAACCTGAAATATTAAAGGAAAGGACATTCGCACAGCTGTAGCAGGGATAAAGCATTTCCCCAAACAATAAAGACCATCTTTATTGATCTTCATAAAGCAGCATGAGGCTGCTTCATAAAACATAGGAGATCATATAATAAAAGCTGGCCTTGAAGAAGGGAGGGACGCCAGAAATCCAAGGCAAGCGAGACATTGAAACCAGAGGTTGAAGTGAGAGGAAAGAAAGCTGAACTACTCTAAGCCATTCATTCTTTCTTTAATTCATCTGATCACAGCAACTTCTGTTCCAGGCGCCATGCTAGGTGGCTGGGTGTTAAATAGTGAGCAAAACAGATATTGTCCTTGCCACGTGGAGTTTATGGGAAGGGAAGACATTTATCAGGGGAGCCCATCCACCAGCTAATGAATTAAATTGTGGGAGCTTAAAAGTAAGTTAAGGCCAATTACAACAGAATCAGAGAGCCTCACAGGAGACCTGATCTACCAGAGAATCAGAGAAGGGCCCCCCCCCCCCCCACCCAGATCCCTTCCCCTCGGAAAGCAAATCTAGCTGAGAACTAAAGAATGTAAATGAGCTCACGGGGGTTGGGGGGTATTAGGAGAAGAGCATCTCAGGGTGACTGTTTAGTATTCTAGCTACATTAACACAAAGTGATATTTCTACATTTTTTCTGCATAATTTCAGCATATGCAGAAGCCCCTAGACTGGAGGGAGAGGGGTACAGTTGTTACCATCCATCATGAGCTAAGAGCCTGAAAAGCCAGGAAAAGGGAACAAATGGATTTTGATCATCAGACGTTCTAGAGAGAAAATTTCTCAAAAGAAGAAAAGTCCAAGCAATGCTATAGTCTGAGGATAGGTGCATTTCCCATGAGCTCCATGTACTTCCAGATCGAAAAGATATGGGGGAAACTCACTTTGGCAACAAAAATTCATACTAGATCAGAAAAGCATCCTCTATAGGAATTGCATTAAAGCAATCTAATGTAGAAACATAAAAGATGATTTGGATAAAAAAATTAAATGTGCTGATGGTAGTACACATTTTGTCAACATATTAAAAACCATTGAGTTATATACTTTAAATGGATAAATTGTATGGTATGTGAGTAATATCTCAATAAAGCTATTTTAATAATAAGCAAACAAGTAAGTTGCCATGTTACCAAATTGGAAGGCAGGATATTGAAAGATGTCAAATTTTCTTAGCTTAACAGCTCTAAAGCGAATCCAGTCAAAATCCCAAAGGACTTTTCTTGTTTGTTGCTTAATCTTCTAAAAATAATATATTAACATTAATATAAAAACAGATTCTAGAAATTTGATATTAAAAACTTAATACTAGCAAAACTAACAGAGAAGCTAATACTCATTGACCACTCCCATATGCCAGACACTCTTGAAAATCACATTAATATAATATACACCCTCCATTAAGTAGTAATGGAAATTAAAATAATCCAAGTAAAGCAACTTTTACAAAAACGCAAAATAAAATTAAAAAATAGTTAAAAGTCTTGTCAAAGCCCTGAGTGGTTTGGCTCAGTTAGAGCCTCAGATTGCAGGTAGGGGGTCCCAGGTTCAATTCCAGTCAGGGGCACCTGCCAGGGTTGTGGCTCAATCCCCAGTGGGGGGCATGCAGGAGGCAGCTAATCCATGGTTCTCTCTATCATTGATGTTTTTTATCTCTCCCTTTCCCTTCCTCTCTGAAATCAATAACGTGTGTGTGTGTGTGTGTGTGTGTGTGTGTGTGTATAAAGTCTTGTCAGATTTTAATACCAATATTAATTATATTTATCCTGAACAATTAGTTCTTGCTCTTTCATTCTCTCCCTTCTGGTCAATGTGAACTTGGTAAATGGCAAGATTCTCTTTGTAGGCTAACATCTGGAGAGCTTGGAGGCAAATTTCTTGCCTACTAAGAGCAGATTTATTGTCATTGCTTTATGCATTTAAGCATGATTCCTGGCTTCGTGTTGTTTCCTTTTCTACTTCATCCTACTTTAATTTATGCTATTCTGCATTTTGTGACCTTTAAGCTACTTTAAATCCTTTCAGGAAGAGAGCAAGATATATTTTAAGTAGTGTTCAAATCAAATAATAAAGAATATTAACAGCAATCCAGAAAAAGAAATAAAATTGACTGAGAAATATAAAAATGTTAAATCTTACATGTAATCAAAGAAATTCTAACTGAAACAGTAATGAAAAGATATTAATTTTTTTCCTTTTTATTTTTGTTAATCCTCACTTGAAGTTATTTTTCTATTGATTTTTAGAGAGCGTGGAGGGGAGAGGGAGAGAAACATTGATTGATTGGTTGCCTCCCTCATGCTGATCTCCGAAATATATGCCCTTGACTGGAATCGAAACCAGTACCCTTCAGTCGATGGGCCAACGCTCTATCCACTGACCCAAACCAGCTGGAGCTGAAATGTTATTTAGACCTATCAGATTAGAAATCTTTA